AACATAAAATTAATTTACAGACACTTCACGAATTACCTAGTTGCGAACCCTTGAGAAATGTTCGAACAGATGACATTAACAAAAGATTCGGAAATACTGTAGTGAATTTTGACAGTATATGCAGTAAACCTTACATTTCATCTATGTTCCTAAACTTAAATTGAAATGGCTAAACTTGATTCCAAAAGCGATTTTTTCAAAAACTCGGCCACCCGGAACCACGAATATTGTAAAAATTTGCTTATTACAGAAGCAAAAAAATATGCGTATTTAAAAAATGAAACTAGAATATCTTCCGATGGCTCTTCAACATCTTCCGTGGAAGATAAACAATTCTTTAAATTTTTAAAAGACCGAAATAATGTGGAAACAATTGTCAGTGTCATCGGCATAAAAGTTCTTTCTCATTTGTCAGACAAGCAAAAAGATATCACATCGATAGCACGTTATCCTCATATGAAACATTTGTTTTTAAAGTTCAACACGATTATATCATCATCAGCACCGGTTGAGCGTTTATTTAGCATTGGAGGTCAAATTTTAATACCGCGGCGAAATAGATTAAGTGACGATATGTTTGAGGCATTTTGATATGTAAGACTATCGACCAATTTGTGTAATTTTAATGTAAACAAACAATATTAATAAATAATAAAAGATTTGTTCGGTATATTTTATACATATTATCATTACTATGATAAAATATAATTTAAAAGTATCTGATGTGTATCTGAGGCACTCCAAAAGTGTCTGAGCATCTGTATCTAGATGCAATTTTCCGCATGTATCTGCATCTGCGCCGAGATATATCTGAAATGTATCTTGACCATCGCTGCATGGGTGTTATGATTATGATTTTGTTGAATTTCCGATTTTCCGGGACAGAAGACTTAAATTCTTGGACACGGGATAAGCTTAAGAATTCCGGGACATCCTGGGAAATCCCGGCCATCCGGCACCCCTACTCGGAGGACAGACCTTCCTTCGCCGAGGAAGCCTCAGGTCGCCGAACACTCAGGCGTGCAATTCCGCAGTTAGGACCCGGGCCCGGTCCGAGCTCGTCTTCCGGTAGCGCGAGGTGACTCTCGTCGATTTCATCAACGCGCTGCCAATGACATCCACGTACGCGCGCGGAATCGCGATAATTTTCAAGCGACAGAGGCGGGTCGTTGGACTCCGACGCGCCGGCCTGCCGTTGAATGTCGTGACTGCTGAATATGTGAATGCGTATTAAAGAGGAATGCATTCCGGTGCCCCTTGGGATTATCGCTACTTGGGTCCACGCTCCGACGTGAGAAGTAAATATTTTACCTCAACACGCGCGCTCGCGCTCGTTCGTTCGATCTTTGTAACCGCAGCCGAGTCGGGTGCTCTCGACGTTTTTAATGACCGGCCGCCTTTAATGACCGTTGTAAAGTATCGCGCGTATCAATGGCCACGAGTGTGCCGCGATAGAGTCGCGCTGTTGGTCCGTGAATTACGGTATCATCGCGCGAGTCCCTTTGTCGGGCGCCTCGCGTCTCGGCGACAAAACGCGCGCGACCCCGCTCCAGGCAACGGGAAATCTCGCGTGTCGTTCTTTCCTCCCATGTGTGTGTGTGTATGTGTGTGTGTATGGCGGCCGAATTGGTTCTCCCCGTATAGGGTTGCCGGGATTTCCCGGAGTGTCCCGGGATTCTTAACCCTTTCACTATTAGTGGGAAGTATATACTTCCCACCTTTTCTTAAATCAATTTTGTGTTGTAAATCACATAATTTTGAAGAACTAATCGGGCGCTTGAGTTTTCCAGATAACTGCATAATTGTTCAACATACTCGAATAGGTTTTTATACTCAATTATTCATTTGTGATTATTTATAACAAATCAAAGTTGAAAAAAATGCCTTTTCTAGGGAAAAATCGATTTCTCGGAGAGTATTGAATGTAGAGATCTGAAATTTTCACCAAACATTTTTCTGATGTTGTACAAAAACATATATTTTTTTTCAATATTATTTTGCAGGTTAGATTTTTTTTATAAACAAATATTTCTACAAAAGCGGCCGAAATTTGATCTTTTTGCACTTTTTAGCTCTATTTTCCTAGTTCTTTCATTCTGTATCTCCATCTTATCCATACTATCAATATTATTTTACTCAAATATAAATGTTTAATCTCTAGTAAGTATAAATATGCAGTATTGTACATTTTCCCACATAAATTTTTTCCAGCTCGATCGAGTTCCATCGTCTAGAATCATATGTTCTTATTGACGACCTGGTCATTATTCAATAATAATTGGAATTTTCATTAATTTTGTCACATCATGATTGTCATATTGAGTCCGCTATTTTGAATTTTGTAAATTTGACTTTAGATTCGTAATCAGCGATCCAAAAAATGTAGGACTACCAAATATTTTAATAATTTTCTCAAGGGAAGTTAATTCAGCAGTGAAAGGGTTAAGCTTGTCCCGTGTCTTAGGAATTTAAGTCTTCTGTCCCAATAAATGAGAACTTCCACAAAATCATAATCATAACATTCATGTTTCTAACCGATACCAGAGAGGTTAGAACTCTAGATACCAGAGAAGGCGACTTATAGGATCGAATTTTTCGACGTGCTACCTGAGAAAATTGATGTCAACTAAGCCATTTACGTAGCGAAAAAACACAATCGCACGGTTTATGTCCAAACTTCTCTACGCTGATACCTAATTCACGCATTTGTTTGTTGCGAGTGCACAGCGGCACCTTTTACCCCTCCATCTCTCAAATTTAACTAAAATTCTCCAACAACCTATCTTTCAACTGTCGCACAGTGGAACGTTTGGCCTGAAAAGCTGACCAAAAGTGAATTTTTTAAAAATCATTCCTGCTCTACATAAGTGACTGTCCTAGATAGAATATCTGCGGAAAAATGGGTCGTTATGATTTTGTTCATCCGCGATAACACGAAGTGGTTTGGTTAGTCAGAATTTGGACATTATTCGTATTGCACACACCAACTCTCAATTCTTTATAACATATACGATCTTCGATCAGAATTTTAAGGTTCTTAGAAGTGGCAGCACGAAATTTTTCGTAATGGATTGTTTCGAGAAACAGGTATGAAGAAACGTTTTAGACTATATTTATTGCAATTGAATTGTTATTCACGCAGATATATGATTTTAAAAATAGCATTCAATAATGTATCTTGTTGCGTTCTCGATGTCAAACTCGAAGGATTTAGCTTGATTTCAGGGTGTATCCCTATTATGTTTCTTGGATGAAATGAAAGAGTAATCTCTCCGGATAAAATATCAGAAAGAATTAGCCGCGGAAAATCGCGAATGTAGTTTTAGTGATCACTTTTGTTTCCCTAAACGTAAATTAGGTTTTGCCCAAAGGTTATTTAGACAAGTTTCCTTTTGTTTCTTTTTTTTTTGTTTCCTCTTGTAGTATGGACATAATCAACAGACTTCTACTAAGTTCTGACCTGTTACTAATAAATATGAGACCCGTACCAAGAAAGAAATCTAAATCATTTTTAAAGAAAACATTGAATATGTTTCTTCTCACTGATCCCGCACCAAGAAGAGGAAATATTTCAATAGACGAAACTGATGTTGATTCTGAGGATGGAATACACTGATTAGATGAAGAAATTTGGAGTTTGTCTAGTTGAATACTTATTGATGTGCAATATTATGCTTTCTTAATTATTAAAATATTTTTACATACATATTTGCACTTTATTTCATGAAAAACTTATACGAAATCTTTATAATGATGTAATATATATAATTAGTAGCACGTTTTAAACCGAAATTCGTCAAAAAATAATTTCGGCCAACTTTTTGCTACAAACGTCCCATTGTGCGTTGCGTAAAAAATGTCCCGGAAATAGTCATTTCGCATCTGGCAACCTTGCCTTTGAGCCAACAACGGACGTACGTAGCGCAGTGACCGCTTTGACACCGACGGAATTCTGATTCGCGGCTGCCGGAAGGTGACCTTGCCTCCGCAAAAGGGTGGCGGGCTTACCGTTAGCGCGAAACAGGGACTTCTAGCCGCGTATTCGTTACGTGGGGGATTTAATAATAAGGATCGTTTCCCGCTTATAACGCTTCGGCATGTCCGCATTTTCCCACGCGTCTTCGTGTGCCTGAGAATGATAATGACGCGTCGTTTAAACTGCCGATCATTATGAGCGGCTTCCTCAGCCGGGCGGGGCGAGGGGGGAACTTTGCGTCGCGCGGAAAACCGAAAGGAGGATCGACGGACAGGCACCGACGAGACCCATGTGTGTGTGTGTGTGTGTGTGTGAGAGTGTGAGAGAGAGAGAGAGAGAGAGAGAGAGAGAGAGAGAGAGAGAGAGAGAGAGAGAGACGGGTTCAGAGAAGAGAGAGATGAGTGTCTTTCCCTTGTCCGACGTGTCCCTTTCAATTTTATTTCACCCCTGAGACTGGAAATTGTTATCATCATGAAAACTGTATTACCACAGAAATGTTAGCGAACATCATGGAAACCGAGGATTTTCCGAGACGAGATAAGGCGAATAAAGGCGATCGCTTTTCCCCCTTCGACATTTCCGCGCTGGCTATTAATTTGAGTTCAGCTCGTCACACCGTAACGCGTCTGTCCGACGACGTTAATTGCTCCGTTCCAGCCGATGCATTAAGCATCTTGTCCCGTCCCGACGTGGGAGATCACGGACGTCTAGATTACAGTGTCGCGTTACGCGCGCGCGCGCGAGCGAGAGAGAGAGAGAGAGAGAGAGAGAGAGAGAGAGAGAGAGAGAGAGAGTGATACGGCCGTGTTACAAATAATCGCAGGTTGAGCGAGTCGCGCCCACCGCGTGTCCGGACGAGGGCTTCGACGCTGCGCTCCGATGCCTCATTCCTCTCGTTCGTCGCGAGGGGAACGACCTGACAATGACGACGACGACGACGAGAACTACGCGTCGAAGAGCGGCCGAAAATCGAAAGGACGGCATCTCCCACGGAAGCGAGGCCGCGACAGCGGCTCCAACTCACCAGGCAATTCATCATCGTGCACAGGACGAGGACCGTCCCACGACTTCCGCGCATTATTTCCGCTTTGCTGGGCACGAGGCTCCTCCGTGTCGAGTCGAGTCGGGAATCGGATCGCGAAGACGAACCGGGGGATCGCGCCCGCGCGAGTCGCTCGCGGATGATCGCCGATGACGACGACGTGAACTCGTGGAGCGCGCAACGACGGACGCGAGGGTGCGAGATGCTGACGCGGTCCTCCGGCGAGAGGATATAAACAAGAGGCAGCCTCCACACTGCGTGGTGCGTGTACGCGTGCGTGAGGATGACTGAGGGAAGACTGAACGGACCCCCGGCGGCTCGGCGCTTTCGGCGGCAGCTGAAGCAACGGAAAAGCGGCCGCGCGACGGGGCCCGCGCTCCCACCTCCTCGCCACGCTCTCTCGGGCTTCTTCGCGGAGCTTCCTCCGCGTTTCCTCTTCTGCTTCTGCTTCTGCTTCTATTTCTTCCTCCTCGCGTCGCCGTTCCCTTCGCGGCCCGGCCGTGAGCGCGATTCTGTGGTCGCGCGGTGTGATGAATATTCGGTCGGGATGATTGAAATCGTCGATTGACGATTGGGAAAATAACGAGCGGGATATGAACTTTCCGGATGATAAGTTTCGGCTGAGAAGAGCGTTCTCTGTGCGAGATGCGATTTTCGTGGGCTTTCGCCTATCGCCGTCGGACGAGCGCACGCGGTCACTGTATTCCCGCAAGTTTCTTCTTTTTATTACGTCATTAAATGCGGAATGCCCGATTTTTTTAAGTACTATGTTCAACAGTCAATATCTCTGACATTTCACCTTTACAGTTCATGGTTTTTTTGTTGTTGTGAAGGTACATCATCACTCTTTTGAACGCATGTTTTGGTTTGTGATTATCCTTCGAATTATCCTTGTTACAGCAATTTTTGTGTAACCATGGATAAGCTAAAAATTCGTGTTATTTTCGAATATGAGTTCCGTCGTGGAACCAATGTAGCGCAGACAACTCGAAATATCAACGAAGTATTTGGTGAAGATGTGCACTAATGAATGCACAGTACGTCGATGGTTTGAGAAGTTTCGTTCTGGCGATCTTGAAAATGAACAACATGGGCGACCCGAGATCAAGATGGATAATGATGAGTTGAAAGTTGTAGTGGAAGCGAATAATCTCAAACTAAGCGTGCATTAGCAGCAAGGTTTAATGTTACTATTCCAACAATTGGGTCACTTGAAACAAATCGACAAGGTAAAGAAGCTGAATAGATGGGTTCCGCATGAATTAAAGCAGAGCAGAAGAGAGATCGTCTGGAAACTTGTCTTTCTTTACTATCACGACGTAAAAGTGAAGCATTTTTACGTCGTATTGTTACATGTGATGAACAACGGATTCTTTTCGACAATTGCAAGTGTTCGGCACATTGGTTGGATACACACTGCTCAAAAGAATTATGGCATAGATAATTTATCGCCGAGAATTGGCCAACTTTGAGTGGCGGTTACTTCGCAAAAAATTATTGTAGACTAATGATTTTTTTTCAAAATGAAGCTTGAAGTCTCCACTTTAAGAATGTATCTCCATTTCTTGCGTGCGATGCACCCCTATCCCTGTAACCCCTGACATCTGAGGGCATGTTTGGTATACTGAAAACTGCAAATTGCAATATTTGACGGGATGCACGGACGTGGACGATTTTTTTTCGGGGATGCCGTTTACATCGTCATAAAGTTCAAATCTTCCTCTTCAATTTGAAAAAGAAAATGGAGTAACTACAATTTTTCTTGCAAAGTTACAGCCCTTCAAAAATATCGTTGTTTTTGACCTTCGGACCAAGTACCGGCCGGCGGATTAAATGATCGGAAATCGTAGTGGAGCAACGGCAAAAGTGTTTGTTGACATACGTACACAAGCACGCGCGCATTTGTTTTTCAGCCCCTGGCTCGTATTTTGACCACAGCCAACATTCACAGCATCAGCAAACAAACTCTCTCCGTATTCTCCACGGCTCCGTACGATATTTTTGAAGAGCTGTAACTTTGCGAAAAAAAAATTGTAGCGACTCCATTTTTTTTCCAAATTTAAGGGGAAGATTTGAACTTTATGACGATGTAAACGGCGTCCCCGAAAAAAAATTGTCCACGTCGGTGCATCCGTCAAATATTGCAATTTGCAGTTTTCAGTATACCAAACATGCCCTCAGATGTCAGGGGTTACAGGGATAGGGGTGCATCGCATGCAAGAAATGGAGATACATTCTTGAAGTAGAGACTTCAAGCTTTATTTTGAAAAAAAATCATTAGTCTACAATAATTTCCCGTGAAATAATCGCCAGTCAAAGTTGGTCAATTTTTGGCAATAAATTATCTATGCCATAACTGTTTTGAGCAGTGTAGATGAAGTGCCGAAACACAGTCCGAAACCGAATGTTCACAAAAGAAAGCTACTGGTGTTTGTTTGGTGATCCAGTGCTGATATTATCCACTACAGCTTCATGAAATCTGGTCAATCGATTACAGCGGATGTCTACTATAACCAACTGGACGAAATGATGAAGATGCTTGCGATTAAGCAGCCGAGATTGATCAATAGAGACAGGCTAATCCTCTTGCAAGACAATGTTTAACCACATGTTGCACAAACAACGTTACTCAAACTATAGGCTGCTGGACCTGGAAATTCTTTGTCACCCGCCATATTCACCAGACCTTGCACCAACTGACTACCACTTCTTCCAGGCACTGGACCACTTTTTGCAAGGAAAAATATTTAATTCTCAACAAGCTGTGGAGAACGTCTTCTGTAATTACATCGTCACCCGCTCTTCAACTTTCTTTGCTACTGGCATAAATAAGCTACCGTTAAGATGGCAGAACTATGCCGATAGTTTAGGCGCATATTTGGATTAATTGTACTATTTCTAGTTTGAGATACGTAGGCTGCTGGAAAAGTTTCTGCAAACGATATGAAAAAAAACATGTAAGATTCGGTAAATGGCTTTATTATTTTACAAAGTATTCGCCTTTAAGATCGATATACTTTTGCATGCGCTCGAACCAATTTTCGAAGCATTTTTTCCACTCTGAGGCTGTAACCTTAGAAACTAGTGTTCGGAATGTTTCAACAGCTGTTTCAGGCGACATAAATCGCTCATTACGCATCTTATATTTGATGTTTCAGAACAAGAAGAAGTCATTAAGTGATAAATCAAGTGAATACGGACAATGAGTCATCAATTCGACATTTTTACTGGATAAAAAATCAAGGGTCAAATCATTTGACGTGCTGAGTGACAGTTGGCGTTGTCATGATGAAGAATGATGCGACGATTTCGGTTTGTTCTATGCAATTCATTGATGACTTCTGGTGAACAAATTGTATACCAATCAGCATTTATAATCCTTCAATCCTCTAAAGCCACAGTTGCCACATGTCCGGTATAACCGAAGAAGTAAGCAATCATTTGCTTGGCAGCACTGCGTGAACGAACAATTTTTCTTGGTTTCCGCTCATTTTGAAACACCCAAACAGTGGATTGTTGTTTACTTTCAGGCTCGTACGAATAGATTCGCATTTCGTCTCCACTAACGATGTTGTAGATCAAATTTGACCAACTTTGGTTGAATTTCTTCAGCATTTCTTTGCATCATTTCACACGAGCCTGTTTTTGAGCTTCGGTCAAATTGTGTGGGATCCAACGACTGCAAAGTTCCCGTACGATCATGTAAAATCGTCTGTATTGCTTTCATGTCAATGCCCAAGGATGCCTGAATCTCGCGATATGTCACATGCTGATCTCGCTCAATCATTTCACGCACAGCATCAATATTAGTGGCAACAACAGACGTGGATGGACGACTTTCACGAAACTCGTCACTAAGAAAGGTGTGTTCACGCTGGAATTCGGTAAACCAATTGTAAATCAGTCCTATTGGATGGTGCTTCATCCCCAAAAACCAAATGAAGTCGATCGATGCATTGTTTCGGAGGTAGACTACATTTATAATCGTAAAAAATAATTGCCCGAAAATTTTCACTTTTGTTTACAAATTTTCACCCGTGAAATTTCCACTTTTTCACGAAATAACTTCTTTTAAAATACTGTGCAAATGAAACTAGCTGATTAGGTACAAACTATCAACTGAATTATAGGTTAGAAACGTTTAATTTTACGGGTATGATAGTAACAGAACGGTGGCGCCACTGCAAGTACTAGATTTGCAGAAACTTTTCCAGCAGCCTACGTATAATAAACCAAACTTTTTGTTTCAAAATCGGACATTTCGTACTTAATGACCTAATATTTATAACGGACAAGCGGATTCGTATGTTGCGTCTCAAAAGTCGCACTTCGCGACCGCCCGGCGCTCGTTCCCGTTGCGCTCGGAGAACCGGTGGCTGTTAATCCGTCCCGATAATCGCGGCGCCCCAGGCGACTCGTAAGAAAATCGACCCAGAACCGGAAGAACGGCGAAATGCCCGGCGAACTGGCGGCAGAAACGCGTTGTTTTTTGCCGCGGCAAGGTGAGACAAAGGCAGCACAGAGGAACGTCGCGTTTTGCGTAGATGAAATGACGCGTCGGACTGCGTCGGAATGCAAATGGGGAATCGACTTGGCGCTTAAAGCTGGCGCCGCGCGCCAAGAAGAGAGCCGCGAAATGGCCGCGGAAGTACGCCTCCGTGCAAAAATTAACCGATAAATCGTGACAGGGCAAAAAAAAAAGAATGTCACGGCGGTCTCGTCAAGACATAAATCCTGCGTGGATCTCGACGGTACGCTCGGTTACCTTCGTGGCGGATCGCAATCGATCTTGTCAACGAATCCTCAGGTAATAGGAGAGTGACAGAGAGAGAGATAAAGAGAGAGAGAGAGAGAGAGAGAGAGAGAGAGAGAGAGAGAGAAAGAGAGGGAGAGCCGAGGCGTATCCGTCGACGTCCGTGATCGTTGACCGTTCCGGGACGATGGCCGGTAATCGTTACCGCGGGGGGAACGTACCGAGCACCTAATTCATTATGGCGAATAAATAAGCGGTTACTCGCCAGCCCCCGCCATCATTCACCTGTGCGCAAACACACCTCTAAAGAGGCCATTTTTAGCGGCCCTAAGCGTCGGTGCCGGTCACCGGATTCCTACCCGCCGGCTCGTCTCGATGAGGCTAACAATCGCGCTCGTGTGCACTCAAGGCTATGCGCAATGATCCGACCGGGAAAGAGGAATCGCCTTCTTCCGTGGACGTCGGAAAAAGAAAATTACACGAACGTCGAACACGCCGAACGAGCGTCGGGGGAGACGATTGCGTCGGC